TTTACAGAAATATCCAAGTCTATACAAATCCTACAAAAATGACAAAATTGCGCTAAAAGCAAAATATTTCTTAAGGTATCAATATGTATATGTCTAAAATAAAATTAATTTATCGTTTAAAGGTGAAGGGATTTTTTTTTTCGTCAAATGTGTGTTTATCGGAAATGTAGGAACAATCTTGGCCCTATACACATTCAAATAGAGTTCAACAGTATGTAATTCAAATTCATCACTTTAGTCCTGCTTTTAAGCTATCTAATTTGTAACGTTTGATTTTCTCACATTTATAAACATACCAGATTGTATGTTTATTTTATGTTAAACAATATCAGACACTTATTGCAGTTATGAGAACTTTGCACCATTAAAAGACCAAACAAACAGATCATAGCATTCAACACATTGGAATGTAAAAACAACCGATTTTACTTATTCATGTTATTGTCTGGATAAAGTTTAAAGGGTTCCTTTATAATTTAGTTTGGAAAAGATATTACTTCAAACCAACTAGTTTTGGCAAAACATTTGTTTACGTGAAGTTTGTGATTAGAAAAATCACGTAAATAGAATTAATCTCGTTCTTTTCTAGTATGAAAATTAAGTGTAAAGATCGCCAAAACATCCTTGCCAGATCAATAACAAAGGCAGAAATATGAAAAGTGCTTAATATGTTTTGTCAGAGGTTGCCTACTTTTACAAACACATTCTCGGTGGTGATTGGTTGAATTGTTGCTGTGACCCCTACACAGTATTTTTCTTCTTAAAATAGCTTTTTATTCTTTATGTAATAATTTAACTATTAAGGAAGTCTAATTATTACTATAATTATTGCAAATTGCTAGAATTTTCAAATCAAAACATATCGACTGTACGTTAATGTAAACAAACTAGGCTGAAAATGTTATTAGCCAGACGCGAGTTTCGTCTACAAAAGACTCACCAGTGACGCTCGAATAAAAAAAGTTAAAAAGGCCAAATAAAGCACGAATTTAAAGAGCATTGAGGACCAACATTTCCGAAAGGTTTTGTCAATTACAGTTAAGGTTATCTATTCCTTGGGTAGAAAATCCGTAGTATTAAAAAAAATGAAATGGGTTTTAAACAGTGGGTTAATTTATTATTATGACCATATCAGTGATAATTCATGTCAACACAGAAGTGCTGACTACTGCGCTGGAGATACCATTGGTGAGGAAATCTCCTGCAGCAGTGGCATCGATCTAGATTGTAAATAGACTCATCATAGATACCAGACTTAAATATTGCACACCAGACGCTCATTTTGTCTACAAAAGACACATTAGAGGCGTTCGAATTAAAAAAGTTAACATGGCCAAATACGGTACGAAATTGACGAGCATTGAGGACCCAAAATTCCGACAGGTTTTTCCAAATACAACTGCATGTAATTGAAACATTTTTTTGTACTAGAAAATTACGTTATTTGATGCTCTCTACTTCAGACAAGCATACACAACATTTTCCGTGTCTAGAACATAATAGTTTTTACTTTTTTTATCAATGCACGATGCAGTTAAAGCAACAAAGAAAACAACATTTATAATTTGTATAAGATTCAACACGTTAAACACAACATCATTGTCACATGCTTTAGTTAAAACTCTTGCCGGTATAACACTGTATTTTGAAGTTAATTGACACTTTGGTTCAACGATTCCAATCATCCCATTTACATCTCCGTTTATTCTTCCAAAACAAATCATTTCTGATCTAGCTGGAATATCAACTGTATGAATTAAATTCACCCCGAACAAAGCACTTGATTTGACACTATTTTGATCATCACTTCCTATGAATTTAACATACATATTATTCCAGTAAGCAGCTTCATCTTTCATATCAATCACTATTCCGATTCGTTTCATAATGTCAGTTCCAATGATAGCATCATAAAGCAAATCCTCGACTACATAAATATTATGCACGGACACTTCAGAATTAACACTAATTTCACATTCAATAATTCCAGTAATATTAAGAGGCTGGCCTGTTGCCGAAACAATGTGTTTATAATTTGGTTTAATATTTAAAAGTTCAATATCTGGCACCATGGTTTTATTAACTAAAGAAACAACTGCTCCTGTGTCAATTAATAAGGTTGCGTCTCGCATGAAAACTTTTCCTCTTATCTTAATTCCTTGCATATTATCAGGAATAATAGAATCATTATCTACAACGTTAGTCTTATTCGAAAACGAGGGAGTTTTATTTACACAAGTGGCCGCCTTCCCCTCTATGAAAGAGGCCGGTCTTAGTTTCAACCAGTCTGTCCACCTCCGCTCTGCTGTTGTGGTACACCTTGTTTAGAATAGCAGTACCGCTCAATATGGCCTATCCTATGACAGTAATGACAGATCGGCTTTCCATCTTTTGACCTCATGTTCAAACCACTTCCTCTAGAATTTCCTTTTCCAAACTGGGTTTTGCTGCCCTGTCTTGGATATGATTGACCACTTACACTATTCATTTTTCTCTCCAGCATATCTAATTTTCGTGTTACATCTTCAAGTTTTTTATTAACACTTGCATCAGCGGACACTGCATTTACAGCAGTGCTCACCTCTTCTATGCGTGTAAGCCGTTCATTGCACTCTTCACGTTTGGCAATTCGGAATGCTTGCTCAAAGCTCTGTGGGTCGCACATCATAACAAATCGTCTAAACTAGGATGAAGTCCTTGCAAAAAGTGTTCCATAGCTAACCTGTCATGATCGTCAAGTGACACGCCTCCATGTGCCCGTCTTGTCAGTTTTAAGATTGCATTTCCATAGTCCTCAACACTTTCACCAGAAATCTGCTTCCTCTGAAATAACTCACTATAGTACATACGCTCAAGTTCTTTTGGGCAAAATTTTTGCTTTAACTTTTGCACAGCTGTATCAAAATCATTTTGAATTTCACTGTCTAAATCCTCGAAATAGTCAGCAGCTCTCCCCCTCAGGTACGCAGGCAACATTTCTCCCTTCCTGCCATCACTCCAACGATTGGCTCGGCTTATCCTGTCAAATATTTTTATCCAGCTTTCAAAGTCTTCCCTGACTTTTTCCAAAAAATTTAGATGGGGTAACTTGGGATTTCATTTCAGGCAAATATCTGCGTTCATGAGGTGTAGATGAAATTGGTGTTCGGACTACAGACACAGATGGATCAGGTGAAAGACTTCTATTTCTGATTTTCCTTGTACGGCCTATAATTACGTATTTAAATAATAAAAATAAAAATAATTTGATAAACACTTACAGTTCAGAAATACATTTGCGTACATCCAAAAGTTATACCTGGTATTCCATATGTTGAATATTTAAATCACCTAGTTGTCCTTGTTACATCCCACTTCTGACACCAAAAATGCCATGGCGGTCGAGTATAGTAAAACTTTCAGGTCAGGCAGGGTGCATTGAAATAACGGTCAATTAACGACAAATAATCCAATGATGTGTAGTCTTGTTGTTAAAGATAATATACAAGTTAATTGACTAATCTATGATTTATTAAAATTCGGTTCCAGACGAATATTTACATTATATACAGTTTACAAAATGTATGATTCAAAGATTCATCGGTACATCACTTTCACACGTTATCACAAAACGGATTTCATTACATTTCGTATGAAAAATAAGCAACAGTGTCCAATACTGTGTACACAACAAAAAAAACACGCATAGTGTCCAATACTATGCGGACAAAACCACGCAACTGTGTCCAATACTGTGCGAACAAAAACCACGCATCAGTGTCCAATACTGAGCGGACAAAATATCAAAACTAAATACAAATGAATAGTAATGTAGCACAACTTTCTATGAATCTATAAATGTCCTCCCAAGATCTGCCAAAATCTGTATATTTTTGTATTGTTTTTTTTTTTGGGCTAGCTCACTATTTATATATAAAGCCCAGTATTTTTTTCAATGACAATCATGAAATTTCAAATCAAATGACAAGAAAAGACAGACGAAGTTTTAATATGCTTGCAATTAAGCCACATATTGAAAACAAAGTTTAGAGCTCCCTAAATTCTCCTTTAAAGCATGCATCCCGCGTGTATTATTTCCTTCTAACATTTTTGAATTTTCCAAATGTGTTTCTTCAACCTAAAATTGACTACATAACACTATTTTTAAATGGAGAATAGCTAAAAAGCTATGTTTTGCAGATGGTAGTGTTTTGGGCAACTGTATTGGTTGTTATGATTGGCTGTGTAATTAACAAGAAGCGTGAATACAGTTAATTTTATGATGTCAAATCTTCCTTAGCAGTAAATGAAATATGATGTTTTGTTTTAAGGTGATTAACAATTGAATAAGACAAATATTTTGGTTTTCACTAACTGGAATTTCAGGAAAAAGGCGCTATTTATTAAAAATACGCCATTGATATTTTAAAAGTGCGTTTGATAACTGACTTATAGTTTCTGTTCTAAAAGTTTTTCATACTTCCATACAGAATCTTAATATTTAGAAGACAAAATAGGTGAACATGTTGACGTCTTGTAAAATAAGAAATCGTCCGTCCTTGACCTTTCATCGTGATTTGACAGAAATTGTACCGTACGAATATTTGACGACCGGCTAAAAAATTAAAGTACAGATGATATGCTTTCGAATGATATATGATTTAGCCGTATGTAAGGTGGGTGCATTAAAAGTAACATTTTATGGTTAATGTCATTCCACTAAAATCATATAAATTGATTTATACGACAATAAATTCAATAAATTATAAATAAATTATGTATATTTTCAAGAGTTAATGAAGGAATAAGAACTCATGCAAAAATTATAGATTACTTCATATTCTATGGAATGAGAAAGTCAAAAAATAATGATACGTCTATTTTCTGTTCAATCTGTTTGTTAGTGTATAATTTGTAATGTCCACTGAACATCTTTTTGTGTTTTCACTAAGACAATTTCATTTTCTAAATTAATTCTAAAGCATCACTTTACAGATAGTTGTTTATTTCACTTTTGTCAGAAGCCATAAACCAAATATCAGAGGGAGATAAAATCAGATATAACAACCTTATGCAAAGTTCAGAAAAGAGGTATTTTGTAAGAATTATGATAGTTGGAAAGAAATCGACCGAAAAAACATGCCTCTTGAGAAGATTATTGAAGGAAGACATATCTGATGTTCCTAGTACAGATGGTGTTGATATTGTTGTTCGTAGATGCAAAATCAACATTGAAGATGGAAAATGGATAGTCGAGAAAGGTATATACATACTAAGTGGTGAAACATAATGATTATGAATATTTAAAAAAAAGTCAACAATCGAATTTAAGCTTTTGATGCAATTTTTTTTACAAAACGTGTTTCGAATTTTTAGTGAACCTATATAGAATTGAATTTGGGTAGTGTCACTTTAACCATTATTAAGTTATGCCCCTTTATAAATCGAAAGATTGCAAAATGTTTAGTTTCCATTCTGTAACTTAAGTTTGCCCCAACCAAACATTATGAAACCTATACACAATATTCATTATCACAAAACTAAGATCAAGTACAAATTTTTTGTTTCCTTTTTCTAACTTTAGTTTGCCTCAACCAAATGTTATGAAACTTATATACAATGCTTATTACTAAATACTACAGATTAAGTACGAAATTTGATGGCGATACTTTTACTATTCTTGAGTTATGTCCCTTTATAAACATAACAATTGCTGATTTTTTCGTTTCCGTTCTCTAAATTTAGTTTGTCTCAACCAAATGTTATAAAACTTATACATAACCGTTCTAGAGTTATACGTGTTTACAAATAGAAAACTTGCTGAATTTTTAGTTTCTGTTCTCTACTTAAGTTAGCCTCAACCAAATGTTATGAGTCTTACACACAATGCTTATAACCACAAAACTCAGATCAAGTTCAAATTCTGGAAGCGTCACTTTTACCGTTCTTCAGTTATGTCCCTTTATAACTATATGATATGCAAGCGGGGGCATCATCTGTGTCCACATGTGGACACTATCCACATTTATTTACATTATCCCAACGTTCGTTTAAAGGCTATAAACTTATAAATCAAACTTTATCGAAGGGTAGAGACCGAACATCGTACAAGTTGGTTGAGGACTGTAGCCAGACTCCTCATGGTCAGCAACAATATCCGGATAGACGAGACTAGTTTCAATAAACTGCTTTGGTTCCGATATCATCTAAACAGGAGGTCTGATGGACCCAATTCGATCAATAGGGTGGTCATGTCGAGCCCCTCAGTTGATCCTCAAACATATACTTTCTTATAACAATGTTCTATTTATACACATGCATTTGAATTAAGGTATTTAAAATAATGATAACTGAAGAAGGCGATGGCTTATGGGTCAATCATGTGGTACATCTACATCTACATTTACATGGGTAATCCGTAAAAAGTCGACTGACTCATCACACGAATATGTTGAATTAAAATTTTGATGTCATCCAAAATGTGCTCTTTTAAAATCATGTTTGCAGGTGTTTAGTATAAACACAGGTGCCGTGCAGATAACAAACATTTGTGTGTTGATTTACGAATATATGTTTGCTATGAGGTAGGTCTTAAATGCCTCATAGTCATCAATATCCAATATGCTAGTTCATTCCAACTTGTGATGGTTCGTACGAAGAAGCTATGTTCGTTGTTCAGAACTTGATCCGAATCCGACTAATCGTCTTTGATGGAACTAACTCGTCATTCTTGCTTCAAGTATTCTGGAATAAGGATTGCAATTAGTTTGTGGATTACTTTGTGAAAAAGGAGTAGACGTGATGTTTTTCCTCTCTCCTGTAATTGTGGTAGTTTTGGGTCCTCTAATAAAGATGTTACTATGCCTGGGTCTCCATTATACTCATGCCTGATGAATCTGACTGCTCTTCTTTGGACCATTTCCAGTTGTTGTATGTGTTTTTGGAGATGTGGGTCCAAGACACTGCAAGCGTATTGTATTGTTGGTCTTACAAGGGTTATATATTACTGACGTTTTATATTCATTTGACATTTACCAAGATTCCATTGTAAAATCCTAATGTTTTGTTTGCCTTTGTAGTGATATTTATGATGTGGTCATTCCATGATACAGTATTTGATAGCGCCACTCCAAGGCATGAATTGTGGTTGACTGTTGCAAGTATGTGTCCTCCATTTCATATGGGTAGATTATTGGTTGTCGTCCAGTTTTTAGACGTAGTATGAAGCATTTGGTTAGATTAAATATCATTTGCCATTGTTTAGTCCAGTTAGCCACGGTGCTCAGGTCACGCTGGAGTTGAAGACAATGATTCATTGATTGTACAGCTACGTAGAATAGACTACCATCCGCAAATAATCTTATTACTTTGACCTATAATTGTTAACTTTGTATACATTGTGACTTGGATGGAGAGTTGTCTCATTGGCACTCATACCGCTTCTTCTTCTTTTTATTGAGGATGTTATGTCAATACCTAAGTCATTGATATGCAAGAGGAACATTAACGGCCCACGCACTGTGCCCTGTGGTATGCCAGATTTTACATGTAAAGATGCTGATTCGTCCCGTCTACTAGTACTTTCTGCTGCCTAGTTGTCAACCTAGACCATCCATGGATGTTTCCTATGACTCCATTAAACACGCCATCCCCTCATGGCCAGGTTGGAATGTTCTGTCCTTGTGATATATATCGTAAAATTCTGGATCAAGAATCTCTGAGCTAGCTATATATTTGTTTGTCTAGGTGAATTTCTGTTGCATGTATTATGTGTGGTTTATACAAGTCTATCATTGATATGATCATGAACTGCTGGCGTTTAGATTCACATCGTAGACTTTTGCAGTTCGTATTTAGCAGGCGAATAGTATTACCTTTTATTTTCGTACATTTAGGTTGGTATTGCATTTTCTTCAACGCTTGATGGATAAGTTTAGAAAAGTAGTAGTCAATAAAAGGTGAAAAAAGTCAAGTTGCCATTATCACTTATGATATGAGATTTATAGATTAGTGATTAAGATTATAACACAATGTTGACTGTTGTACTCTAATTTTACATTTTTACTTTTGATGTCTGTTAGTTTTGCTCACACATTGTTGCAAATATAATGGAAATCTAATGCGACTTTCGTACAATTGTAAGGTTTATCTAGCTATAAAACCAGGTTTAATCCATCGTTTTCTACATAAGGAAATGGCTGTAACAAGTCAGGAATATGACAGTTGTTTTCATTTATTTGATGTGTTAGAACTTTTGATTTTGCAATTGACAAGGAACGTTTGAATTTTCCTTGGTGTTTGGTATTTTTTTTATTTTACCTTTCATTTGGTTATGGAACCCGATGATAATTTCTAACGACAAAGATAAACAAAAATGACAGAAACGTTAAAAAAATGCTTATTCCTCAAAAATAATACAAATTGTGATGTCTTTATACAAAATAAAAACATAGTAAGCTTTTCTTTTTTTCTTTTTTAAAATTAGGTGAATTCGATTTTTCTCGGCATTTTGGCTTTCTATGTTTTGTTTTTTGTACTGTTACACGGTAAAGGGTTATGTTCTTCTCATATATTTAATAATGGTATGATACTAAAATCTTACGGGAGGGATTGTGCTCGATTTTCATATAATGAAGGCATAATCTTTCAATCAGTTTGATTAAGGTCTGGAGCTGGCATGTCAGTAACTGTTGGTAGTCCTTTGTTAATCTATTTATCATTGTCAGTTTGCTTAGTTTCTTTTGTTACCAATTCTGACATCGGACTCGGACTTCTTAAAAACTGAGTTTTACTGTGCGTATTGATGTGTGTTAGTTTATTCTACATTAGCTAGAGGTGTAGGGAGGTTTGATATCTCACAAAACAGGTTTAACCCCTTCCGTATTTTTGCGCCTGTCCCAAGTCAGAAGCATCTGGCCTTTATTAGTCTTGAATTTTTTTTTTAATTTTAGTTCTTTTATATGTTTTGGAGTTTAGTGTGACATCCATTTTTACTGAACTAGTACACATTTTTGTTTAAAGGCCAGTTGAAGCCCATCCTTGGTGCGGGATTTTCTCACTGTGGTAATGATCCATTGGATGCCTTGGGCTGTTTTCTGCTCTTTGGTCTGGTTGTTGTCTCTTTGACATATTCCATATTTCCATTCTCAATTTTATGTTGTGTGTTTGTCAAATTTTATACGACCGCAAACAATTTTTGCGGTCGTATATTGGTATGACGTTGGCGTCGTCGTCGTCGTCGTCGTCGTCGTCGTCGTCGTCCGAAGACACATTGGTTTTCGCACAATAACTTTAGTTTAAATGAATGGATCTCTATGAAATTTTACAATAAGGTTCAATACCACAAAAGGAAAGTTGGAATTGATTTTGGGGGTTATGGTACTAACAGATAAGGAATTAGGAGCCAAAAAGGGGCCAAAAATAAGCAATTTTGTAACTTCCAGACAATAACTTGTGTGTTAGTGGTTGGATCTCTCTGACATTGTACCACAAGGTTCCATATCACAAAGGGAATTCTGGGATTGATTTTGGGGGTAATTGTCTCAAAATTTTAGGAATTAGGGGCCAAAAAAGGGGAAAAAAACAAGCATTTTTCTAGTGTCATAACAATAACTTGTGTGTAAGTGTATGGATCTTTCTGAAATTGTACTACAAGGTTCTATATCACAAAGGTAAAGCTGGAATTGAGTTTGGGGGTAATTGCATACAACGTTTAGGAATAAGGGGCCAAAAAGGGGCCAAAAATAAGCATTTTTTTCCAGTTTCCAGACAATAACTTGTGTTCAAGTGTATGGATCTCTCTGAAATTGTACTGCAATGTACCATACCACAAAGGGAAGGCTGGGATTTTTTTTCCTTTTTTTTCTTTTTTTTTTTTTAATTTTCTATTTTAAGTTGGTTATTTTTTATTTATATATAAAAGCAAGTTATAATTATATGGTTTGATATCATCAAAAATTGAAATATTGGGGATCTTTGATATGCTGAATCTAACCGTGTATTTAGATTCTTAATTTTTGGTCCTGTTTTCAAATTGGTCTACATTAAGGTCCAAAGGGTCCAAAATTAACTTAGTTTGATTTTAACAAAAAATGAATTCTTGGGGTTCTTTGATATGCTGAATCTTATCATGTATGTATTAAGATTTTTGATATTGGACCATAATAGGTAAATTTAAATGTTTTAAGTTCTTAGACCACATTCATTCTGTGTCAGAAACCTATGCTGTGTCAAATATTTAATCACAATCCAAATTCAGAGC